AAATTAGGCGTTTTAATAAATTCGGTACATTTTGCAAATGTAAGAAAGTACAATGAAAGCAGATGAATATAATTTACTATTAAAGGAATTTTGATAATAATCTATTCTTAAGTCAGTTAAAACAGATTAATGCAAAAATATTTTTTAAAATAGATAATTAAGTCATAATAGGTTTAATTTAGCTTTGAACTTAAATAAAAATTGTACCTAAGTAGCTCAAAAATAAAATATTCTACACAGTACGTGAACTAACTCTAAGTATATCCGAATAAAAAGCTCTACACATGAGGTAGAATAAGTTAGTAATAATATGGTTAATAAGAAGTATGCTACAGATAATATTACGTTTCGGCGGCGACGAGCGACGGGCGACGCGATGGAGGCGCGACGGCAGCAGCGTGGCAGATGTGCCACCGGTTGTGATTGTCTTGCCGCGATGATTGATGATCTCCTGCCGTCGCACAGGGTTGCCAACCACTACATATATAATACTTGCCTGCGTTGGTAAATTATTGTTGTAAACAAATAGACACTATGCTGAATATTCTTTTTACCATTTCGAAAAATGGTTATTGTTACATTAATTATATTCAGGTAAATCTACTTGCAAGTTATTAAAGATTCATGTTATTTAGGTTTTTTTTTAACTAACACACGTGACGTAAACGACTAGCAAAATTGTACAAAACATTTAATAATCTTCACATAATAATTTAAATGTTAATATCCCCATATTATACTCGTAAGTACTTGGATAGCACATTGAAAACTGTTCAAAGCGTATTCAAATAAATTTTGTTCATAACACGTAAACATGCTCATTAGAAAAAGACGTAAACACCACAAAAATAGCGGCGAATTATAAGATACTATTGTCAAATATGTACTTATTCTATTAACACAAGGCTCACTGAACAATGTAAGCAGATAAAAAATGTAAACATCGTGATTATGTTCCTGATTCTATTGTTACTGTAGATAAGAAGAACAAACTTCTTATTATTTGTATCTTCCTAAAATGGCTGAGCTAAATTGAGCATAAGAATGTAGAGATAAGCCCCTTTGCAAATGTTGATTGACAGCTTCTAGCTGCATGCACCCTTCTGGGCAAACATTGGCTCCGCCCACAATCACGAAACTGTACAATAAAGTATATTTAGTGTTTTTATTCAAATATATGATAAAATAATTTGTATTAATATAAAATAAATATAAAAATTAGTGTTTATAAACGTTTTTGCTGCCAGATTTATGTGATCAGTTTACTAAAAGAAACGTACAATATTATTAGCATGAACATATATAAATAAATATTTTTAATGAAGGCGACTGTTGGTAAAAGCTTGTATGTTATCCATTAGTAATAAAATAAAATTTTCTTATTAAAATCAAGAATTGTGAGCGACAACCCTATATCACTATTCAACTCACGTTTATTCAATATAAGCAAACTCAAGCATAGGCTACGGTAAAAGTTCTTTGCCGAAATATTCTACATTCGTCAACAGTTGCTCTGCAATGATTTCTGTAGGTATATTTATGAGCTCTTTATATTACGAAAGGGAGTTACATTTTTGAAGTGGAAAATAATGGTAGAAACGGGAGCTTTCCTGTTTGTGCTAATTTCAACTGCACTATACTGCTAGCTAATGCATATAGTTGAAATAAAAACACTACACTTTCTGATCGATTTTTTTCTATAAAAGGTTATTAACAAAGTAATGTACTCATTTTCGTAATTATAGGAGGAAATAGAGTTTTATGATAACTCTCACACAAATTATTACCTATGTGGTAAATTGCAGCTATATTGCACGAATGGGTCGGTTTAACTGGAGTATGTTCGTATTGTGAGTGACGGGAATCGAAGCCCCTTTTTAAATATTTATTAAAAATTGCTGTTTTGCAAATTTTTTTACTGGTCATGAGGCATTCCATCTTACTCCACATGGATGACTTCGTCTCCGTATTTTGATTCTTAATCGACGATAGATGTAGATGTCTAGAGGTCACTGCATCTACTTACCATTTCACTCTTACTTCTATTAAAAATCGTCACCTATCGAAGGCCTCTACTACACCCTCGAGATGAGACATTGTTTCTCTTATATCCAGTATACGGCGATTAGGCAAAATGATTTATACAATGAGATAATTATTAATCGAAAACCTAATAATTTAAATAGGTTAAGAAACTTTCCTTGTCATTATTATAATTAATAAGCTCGTGTTTTTGAAACGTATATTTTTTGGCGTAGGCCATTCTCATATTAAACATAAACACTCACGCCTCTCACCCAGAGGGGTAGGCAAAGACTACAGACTTCCATTTGGCACGATCCTGACACACCTCTCTCGCCTCCTTCACATTCATATACCTACGCATACATGCTCGTCAATTAAGGGTACTTCTAGGTTTAGTCTACTTACTGTTTTTTTAAATATAATGTAGAAGAAAGACCTTATAGTTGACAATTACCTGTAATAGTCCCCTGCCTTGCGAACGGCCTCGCAAGTTGCCGATCAAAGAATCAATTACTTCGCAATATTCACACTGCTCCCCATGACCGTTCTAGATATTTTAGGCATCGTAAATGGGTTTTATAAAACATATTAACGATTTGACTGGTATAAATTATTCATTTCAAAGAGTGTATTAAATTGCAAAGCTTTTTATGCTAAGATATAAACGAAATTACATTCGAACCACCCATTACAAGTACTTAACCATATAGTTACTTATAATTTAAGTTATTTAATCATTTGAATATTTTGAAGACAGAGAATGCTACAGTCTACGGAATATTTAATCCTTAGTGGTGCCATCTATCATTAACTTCGATAACTACAACGTTAAGGCTCTCAGAGGAATTTGAAGCGTTGTAGCTCAGTGCTTACATACGTGCATTAAATTGAGCATTTACGCTGGTATTTAATATAAATAAATAAAAAAGTAAAGCTACTTATTAAAAGTAGCTCCATAGTTGAAAATAGTACGGTATAATACCTGATTTTATAAAAAAAAACTTAACAAAGAGGTAAGCATTTCGCCATAAGCTTAAACTTTCTCGTCCCTCTCACTGTTTAAAGCCTCATTGATAGTAAGACTTACTGACGCTAGATGGCGCAAATTAACAAACTGCGGTCCAAAAAATCTGATACTTTTTAATGTGTTGTTTTGTGTGTTAAAATATGTCATAAATAATGGCCTTTCATTAATTTATTAAAGCTCATTAAAAGTCCACTGCTGAGTATAACCCTCTTTCATAGATGGTCCCGTAGAGATATTTGCCAGAGTCCACCACGCTAAGCTTATATGGTGTTTTGATTAAGAAGATGCTGCTGCCCATCTCCTGTTTATTTTTCCCTCTATCGTCTCTTACGATCCCACGGGATTATATGTGGTTGTAGGTATTCTTATACCACCACTGTATAATAATGACCTTAACACGATCTATTTTAAATGTAATCGATTTTTTTACTTATTTTATATAATAATATAGTAAACACCAATACTAGTAACACGAAATCTCAATCCTGACTCTTCCTCTAGTTCAAGAACGGTAAAGATGTTGTTTCGAATTCGAACACATAGGTAGTACTTTAGGTATAAGTATGTTGTACCTATGCGGATCACGTAGCCTCATAATAGGGACTTATTTTCAGACTAATTCTAAAATTGATATACCATACTGCAATATCGATAAATATGATCTCAAAAATGATCTGTAAAATATGTTAGGTCAATTAAGTCTCATAAGCGAAGCGCGCTTTAGTTTAGGGTCTCATCAACTTATGATGTTTAAAGGTTCATTAAATTAGTGATTAGATGCACTATAAACTCAATGTTTGACGCAGTTCGCGGTTAGTTCGATAAAATATTGATAAGAGGAGTGATGGACTTAGTTTCATTTTTAAATAAGTACTTAGTCTAAGCCGTAGCCTTAGGTAACGGTAATAAATAATTAAAACATCTATAAATGTGAACCAACTCCTTAAGGGCTGACAAATTTATGATATTCATATCGACCATGATAGAAAGAAAAAGGATTTATGGGTAAGAAATACAAAACGTAAATAATTTAGTTTTATAAGGCAAATTAAAACATTTTTACAGTGCGAATTTAGTAATTGCGAATTTCAATCATAATTTCACATTCATGTCAATCATTCAATAATTATAAAAAACGGAAAAATTTCATATCATAACTCAATATGAACATATTGACGATATCGATTAACTTTACAAGTAGCATAGCCAAAAACATTGTTTCAAATTCATAGTTTATAATCGAAATATTGATCCCAGTTTAATAATTATTGCCATTCCTCTGAATACTCGTAAACAACCTAATTAAGTTATTTAGTCATCGAGCTTTCGTTTATTGTGTTTTGCTAATTAGCTGGGCATAGAAAAAAAATGGGGAGTATAAAAATCACACCCCAATTAAGAATATAATTATTTACAATTTAGCTTTCGAGGTGGACGTGTCTTAAGTTGTAAATATACAAACTTTTCTATTCGACCCTTACGATGTTCGTGTCAACAACAGTTCCGGGTCAGTCGTCGCCACTAACGTCACGGTTGTACGCCTCAACCACCACAAACTCCAGTAACAACCAGTGGTCTCAGGTTGCCAATAACAATGATGCAGTTCTTTCCTCAACGGTAAAGTCTATATTAATTGTGCTTATTTTTTGTCTCCTAGGTTATAATATATACATTTTTAACATTTCAAAAAAATCTTATTTAGGATTTTTTTTTCAAAAGGTTCAAAGATTTTAAATATCTATACAACCATGATTAAATCGAAATTTAAGGTTTAGCATTTAAACATAAATCGCTTAGAAATTAATTTATATAATATACATAAAAATTCTAGGTAAACAAACGGAAGTGGGCTAGAATTATAAAAACGTTTATTAGTTCTTATTAATTTAAGTAGACAGGAAACTCTTGGTCACCCATATGTAATATCATCTTGTATCTTTTACAGACTATGCCGTGGACCGAAATGCCGCCGTACAAAATCATTCCCGTCTCTAACTTCGTTGATTCAAATGGTGGTTATATTAATTCAAAGATGAACGTTGTCAGTACCACTACATCTAATTTTAACACCCAGATGTTCAATAATCCAACACATTTACTTCCAACGTGTGAAAGAGATGTTACAAACATTTCAAACGGTTTGTGCGGACATAACGGAATAAGACCACCAATACAGGATTTGATTAATGCCCCCAACGCTATGATACCATACCAGAGAAATGGATCTAATGACGTTCATAGCAGCAATAGCTCCTGGGCTGCTAACGGAGTCGCAGAAAGATACACACGGCCTACTTGGAACCCAACGAAAACTACCAGTGGTGCTGTTAAGAAACATAAACGTGTTAGAACAGCGTTTACGAGTCAGCAGATGATGGAGCTTGAGAAAGAGTACGCACGCAATAGATACCTCGATCGCACTCGTCGCATAGAGCTTGCGAATATACTACATCTTAACGAACGCACTATTAAGATTTGGTTCCAGAACAGAAGAATGAAGGAGAAGAAAGACAGAGCGGAGAACTACGATGGTGTAGAAGAACCAAGCACGACTGATTCCTCTCCAGACATGGTCAATATAACCGTGCCAGTTCTTACCCAAAATCAATATGCATTTCAAATATCCAATGGCGTTTTCAATCATGAAAGATGTTACATGGGGCCATATCCAGTAGCGTCTTCTCCTATGATGATGCCGCAAACGAACATGGCGCAGGAGATGAGGAGTTCAGTATTAAACAATTATCCTACGTTTATCTTAGACAACAATATGCAACTGCAAGAAAAATTTGAACCAGTGCCCCAAACACAGTTAAAAATGGAGGATTTTGAACCGAAGTGTAAAAGTGACGTACCAGAATCGCTGCAGGCCTCACCGATGTATTCCGATATCTCTGCCGTCGATTCTGTTAAAAGTGAAGTCAATGATCAAAGTTGGGATCTATCTTGGGTCCGAAGCCTTCATCTTGATGATGACGCTTAACTTATATTCAAATCAACGTATGTTACGTAGTATATTAATGTTTTATACTTTATAATTTATTTAAACACATATCCCATGTGGGTCGAAATAAATGCCACCTTAAAGTTTAAACTGACTGTTTATTAATCCTATTGTAGTTTTAAAAGCTTCGTAGTGTCGAGCACAGTGATAGATGATCTTCAGCAAGATTGTTTGCTTAGCTCTGAGTTGCGGCATAAAGTGCCGCGGGTTCGAATCCCGCACGCAACAAGTATTTATATAGCCTACAAATAATTGTTCCGGATATGGATGTTTATCCTTGTGAAGTTTATTATGTAAACTTCCCCCACGAAACAGGAGAAAATCCTAGTGTGGGGGTAACCTTTTCAATAAGGAAAAAAGAGATGAGTACCCAATATTTAAATTAAAATTAAAAGAAAGCATAAAGAAAGCATTTTTATACTACGTGAGTGAAAAACATTGAACTCTTTTGTACTACGTACAAGAGGCGACACTGCATTTAGTTAAGCTGTTCCACTCATTTGCGGCGTTAGTGCCGTATTTTAATCAGTCATTCGCTAGCTCCCGATTGTACTAGCTTATCTATGTTCGCTAGGCGCTAGTGAGTTGACACGTATTGATTAAATTATATAAAAAATCTAGATAAAATATGCCTTGGTGTGTTTTTAGATATTGCACAAATAATGTAATGTTAGCAAATACCAAGGAATCACTTTTTATCAGTTAATATGATACTTAATCAATAAAAAAAGTATTATAGATGAATAATAAAACAAATTGTTCCTAAGGCGCCATCTCATTTCATGGAATATATATTATGAAATTAATTGGTTCAGATGCGACATTTCTGTGGGTACTTACCTAAGCTTAGGACGAATATATTATTATACACAATTTTTGTTGTAGAAACATATATAAGTTATTATAATTAGGCTACATTTTTATATTTAAATCTGCTCCTTATTATTTTATTTTATTTTTAGGTTTCCACATCAAAATACAAGTGGAATAAACTCGTCTATTTCTAACTCTTGCGTGCCCAGCATTTATGAACGACTTTTATTCCATTTTAAATAAATATATTTGTAACTCAAATGGTATATTAATAAGTTTTGTTAAACATACATTTAGTAAAGTAGTTAAACCTTAACATTAATACTTTGCCATATATTTATTTCAAATTAATGTGAATATTTCGATAAGGGGATTGGATAGTTATATCCCCTTAAAATGTAATTGTGATATAATATTATGTAATATTATATAAAATAAGCAAATATAATATACAAAATAAATGACAAAATTTAAAAATTGTACTCGATATAATTTACCTATTTAACAATAAAATCTATTATTACCTACTGATGTTATTCTATGATAAAAAACCATCAGCGCGAACACACAGTAGCACACATATTTTGTTCGGAATAGCTGTTCTAGTACGCACCACCATGGCACATTACCGTAATACAAATGATTTTACCGCTTTTGTAAATGAAAACCTGTCGAAATTAGTCCCAGATCAAAGACATACTTTTGATACTATAGTCGATAGCGTGAACAAAGGAACAATTTTTTTGGATGCGCCTGTGGCACTGGAAAGATGTTTCTGGCAAATTTGAACTTGCTAAGATACGACAATCGGAAAGATAGCGATAGCAGTTGCTTAAACAGGAATTGCTGCAAATCTCTTAAAGGATGAAAAACTGCTCATTTTACTTTTGAATTTCCGCAATCCGTAACTCTTGAGCAAAAATCCACATGTTCTATTTGTAAAAATGGGCTGCCTAGGTAAATTACTACAAGACGCCTCATTAATCATATGGGATGAATGCACCACGAGCCATAGAGCACATATAGAGGCGTAGAGCTAATCAGTGGTAGTACTTCTTCTCTACCTTGGAATCCTTCTGAGTAGGTACTCCTCTCCATAGCTCACTGAGCGACCTTGAGTGTCATACGGCCAGCAGTGAAGCACCACGTCTCAGTTCCATAAGTCATCACTGGCAACACGCACTTTTTGTAAAATCTCGTTTTCTAGTTTTGAGGTATACCTGACCTGTAATTTTCCGAACGCTGCCTAGTTGAATCCGCCGATTGACCTCTCGGCCGAAGTTGGACTTATCTAGTCGGACTATTTGTCCCGGGTAAACATATTCGTTAACAACTTCGAGCTTAGTGCTCCCAACAATTACCGGAATAGTTGTGACACGGACGTTACACATGATCTTTGTTTTGTCTTATCATCCTATTAACGATTTCCGCCGGAACTAAGTGTTCGGGTTTGAAAATCAGCATAATTACAGACTGATAGGTCTGAGACATCTTAGTTTTTAGTAGTGAAAATCGCATCTGAAGCCTTCTTTTAAAGTTAGATGCAGTTTTGTCCTTAAGAACGTTAGCATAAGCTTACAGTGCTATAATATTATAGGTTATAAGTATTATAAAAGGTCAAGTAGCGTAATTTATTAATTATTAGTATAGCCTGTGGTCGAAATTAGTTCAGAAAAAACGTTTATAGCATTGGGTGTCAAACGAGCACACAGTCCATCTGATGGCAAGTGGATGCTGTGGCCCATAGACATCCAAATTTTATCCTTAATTAAATATCAAAATGCAAATGCGTTGTCACCCCTGAGGACTAAGATAGAATGCCCCGATTCCACTAAAAAGGGTCTCCGGTTCTCTACACTCACCATACGAAACACAACAGCATTAAGCTGCTATTTTACGCTGGTATTCTGTGAGAGCGTGGTTCTGCCTCGGTTGAGCCAACCCAATCGTGTTACAATTAGAATATGGCGGCAGCGTGAATATACCACGTATATAAAATATTATAACGTAAATGAAATATTCGTTTCCAGAACAATTTTTTTCGTGTCACTGTACGCCAAGGCAAAGGCATAGCGCATACAGCCACGAACATGATCAAAATGCTTTCATTTAAGTAGTTTAAGTGTTTTCAATGGAAAATCTTGTGTATGTTTATTTTATTTTACGTAAATTTACACCTTTACCATTTCCGTTACAGCAAAAACAGTCCCTTGCTGGATATAGAGGGGATATTTGCTATAGTTGCCACGCTTGGCAAGCGGGTTGGTAATTGCAGTTTTTTTAACATTTAGTCGTTATCAGGAAGACGTTGTTGCTCATCTCCTGATTTGTTCGCATGATTTGTGCGCATTTATGGCATATTACGTTTTGATGATATAAGTTTCATTTATGTTCATTTAAATTCTTATTTTATAATAATTATACTATAAAGGTGTAGGTTATATATAAAGGTGTGCTTACGTTTGTTTTCAATGTTCACTTATTAATATATTGATAAGCTTTTACAATAATTTGCTACGTTAAAAAGACGTGACAAATGAGCTGATAATGGGCACTGTACAAAAGTGGGGACTGTACCTTATAATCACTTGCAATAATTGTAAACAAAGAAGGCTGGAAGATAGGAAGTAAAGAAATACGAGTTTGTGAAGTATATGTATTACATACGTTTCTACTTCTGAGGACTCATATAGAATCATATAATCGTTGGTGCAATTGTCAGTTAATGATTGGTATCATCTTGTAGACGATTGACCGACTGAGTTCTTTACATAATATGCTGTCTATATTTTGTTGAGATAAAGGTTTATAGTTATAGCTAAGCTAAGATCTGATAGGTTTTATGCCAAAAGAGTGTATATTTACAACATAAAAAGTCCAAAATGAATTCGGAGTAAAACTCGTCGTGCCATCTACCGTTAGGGGCAAAAATATGTCTCCCGAGGTAGCTAGTCTATTATATCAAAGGATGTCATTGACATAATTAAAACAAATTGCATTCACGCACACATGCCCTTCAGTATATACCTACATTATCGTCACCACAAACGTTTAGGTAGTGCACGGCTAAACACTTAACTACGACGCTACGAGACGAGTGCATGTTTTTCGCTCGAAATATGTGTTGGTATAACCTACCGATAACTTTTCCTGGCCCGAATGTTTTTTTTTAACGAAGTGAAGTTGACATACGAGCACAGATTTTACCTGATGAAACTTTGGTCCTTAGACACCTACATCTATCCTGGAATAATAATCAAAATGCAGAGGCATAGTAACCCCTGGGAACTAAAGAAATAATATTTTATTTAAACGTGATCTTGAAAATTTAAAATAAAATTTAAAAAACATATTAAGTACACTAACACGTCTTTCTAACAAGTATTAATTAACGCGTTCCCGTTGCTATAAAATGAGAGCTGGGTTACAGAATACCAACGTGAATAAGTAGTCTAATACTGCTTGTATTTTGCATAGAAAATTACTAGAATCGAAGACCATTTTTACTAGTAACTAGTATTCCATCTTAGTCTTAAGGAGTGGTAATGGCAACGTATCCGCATTTTGATTCTTAATTAAAAATAGACCGTTACCGATAGATAAGACTTGTGAGGTTTCTGTGGACCACAGCATCTACTTGCAATGCGATTCAAGTAAGAATAGCAACGTCATTGACCTCGAACGCGATTAGTCAACTGTCACTTGAAAAATACGGCTTGCAAAGTAAATTAATTTTCCACTTTTATATTTAACTAAGTCTTAATCTTAGATTAATTACATATACATACGTATGCATAGAGAGAAACTATAATTTAACGTAAATTGAGTCAATATTGTCTCGCTTTTTCTTAATTAATTTTCGAATTAGGCAAAAACAGACAAATCTATTAAAATATGTTGCGTATAATTCAAGTGTGGAAATAGAAATATCAAGTGGTCATTTTTGGTCTCTTTATACTATGCCAAATATGAGAGTGAGTACACTCGTATGTTCTTATTAACTAAAAAATGACATCCCTATTGTAGTGGTAGTATGTGTGACGTTACTTTACAAGACATTACGTCTTTAATCTATAGTGATTTTGTTACACAATGTTAGCCACAATCGACATCGATATACTCGTTTTATTTAGTTATTTATTTTTATTTATTTATATGCCTAAAAC